ATTAATCACAAAAATGTGATTTTATTATCTTTATTTAATAAAAATAAAAATAAAACCTGATTTTTGAATTTTTAAACTATAAACCTGATTTTTAAATTTAGAAACTTAAACACCTTATTTTTTATTTTCTTCTTTTTCAACCACACATTTCCCATCATATCATTATTCAAAATCAATTATTCCCCAAAAAATCCCTACCAAACAGGCTCTTAAAAGGGTAAAAAGTTCACTTAATTGACTTTTTCATCCACGAGCAAAACTTAAAGTCATATAAATATAACAATCTAGGGGTGGCAAAAGGGCCGAGTAACTCATCGGCTAGGCTCGTTGAAGCTAGGCCCATGGACGGCTCGGGCTCGTTTCGGAACAAGCCTGAGCCGAGCTCGCGAACGTTTCGTGGGCTCATAAAAAATGTGAAGAAAAAAGTAAAACAAAAAAAAAAAAGCTTGTGTGACTCAGCTTGTGAGGTTATGAGCTCGTGGGTCGAGCTCTTGAGCACCAGCCGAGCTCATGGGTAGATGGGCTGGGCCGAGCCGAGTCGAGCCGAGCCACTACAACAATCTGAACAGTGGTTTACTGTGACAACCCCATATAAATTATGTTCCATTAAAATTTTTAAAAATTTTCACTTTCTTAATTTTAATCACACATTTTTCAAATAAAATAATATTACACACAAATTCAAAATATTTTTATCATCTCCTATCAATCACTATTTTAAAATGGGGCCAAACAATGACATAATCATTTTCAATGAAGTAAACACTTGAACTATAAAATTAAGCCCATGTTTGACCCCATTAAATTTTAATTTATTTTTCTCTCTCCTCTTATTAACCATACATTTTCTCAATAAAATAATATTACACATAAATCCAAAAATATTCCTTACTTTTTAAGTGCACATTCTCAAAAAAATAGCATTCCAAAATCAATTTTTTTTCAAATCATGAAGCTCAAGCAAGGGCTTATGTAACGTGTGAATGGAATAACTATTTCTGTTTAGTGTCTAATTGTCAGAAATGTGTTAACCTCTTCAATCCGAATTTTCTATTTGTGTGCGGTGTGTATTTTATATTCTGGAATAACTATTGCAAAGTAAAGAAATTTTACTTAGGAAGGGTTGCAGCCTTTTCTCTCATCCTTTGTACAAAACGGCCATTATGAAAACTTCTTCCCGAGACATCCGAATTGAATTTTTCCAGTGGATAAGACAGCTTAGTGTGTTTACCATCCATGTAAAGGGCATATCCGAAAACTCGTTGAGCATCAATATCTTGTAAACAATCTGCAATCACATGTCAACATCCTGAATGGACAGAGACACTCCTCTAATTCAATGTGCAGATACATTAATGTTGTCAACTGTATTAGCATACCTTCAAGACCTAACTCAATTAATTTCAAATAGCCTCCAGGCTGTAGAAGTTCACCAACAATCCGATCTGGCTCGGTTAAGTCTCTTTCTATAGCATGAACTCGTCGTCCCTCCTACAGTTAGCAGTAGAAAGTTATAAAGTTGTTGTGTTGAATACCGCAGTTAAATAATTGTATTTCCTCTCCAAAAGCTCAAGATGTTAGCTAAGGTGGTTAAACATGGTAATTAGTACCGATTTCACACAAGAGGTCGTTTGAAATCGTATTACAGTCGGCAAAAATCCAAGTTCAGTTTGGCATGAACTATTTATGAAAATTGTGCACGTTAATTCGTTAAGAATAATGAATATCACTTCAGGAGGCATGTTGAAGATCGAGTTTATATAAATAAATGTGTCATCACACTAATAGCTTGAGCCGTCAGATTGGGTGGTTTAACATGCTGAAAGTGCACACTCCACAGAATTAGGCTTTCCACGGCTAAAAACCATTGTGGAATCAAGTCTCACGGAAATTTTCCTCGAATGTTTGAGCCTTGGTAAAAAGTTTTAATAGACACCGATTGTTTGCACAATCTACAAAAAAAGAAATCAAGGAGCCTTTCAGTTTCATAATCTTCCATATGCTTTAGTTGATGAGAACTGGCTTATGGTTACACACTTGCAAGCAAATCAACTTTTGCCTTGCTTAAAAGAGAGGGATCTTAACCAGAAGACTTTGAAGGCACAAAATATTTACAGCCTAAAGCTAGCAATAAGAGGACTTATGGTAATTCATGAACTCATCAATAAAATTACTGTCCAAATATGTATTTACAACTAATTGAAAAAATAACAAACAAATAAGAATTTAATTGCATCTTTGAATGAGAAAATGCAGGAAAACGAAGGAAAAAAAATGTATGAGTTACGGAATCCATTATTTATACTAATTCACAGAAAATAACTTTTCGTTAATTTTCTATACGAAACCATTCAAACCACCCTATACTTCAATAGAAACACCAAATAATGTTTCAGTATAAGTAAACACGTAACAAACAGCAAAAAGGAAACCCTAGAAATCAAAGAGAATAAGAAATTGAAACAGCTTTCTTCGGCAACCAGAAATTATTATTAAAAACATGAAATGATAAAGAATAGAGATAAAATTGCGGAAAATCAGGATTGATTTCCTTACTTTTCCAAGTGCATAAGCCAGCGCCGCCCCAGCGACACCAGCACCGACAATAATCACGTCAGTTCTTCCGGCGTCGACCACAGGCCGGAGAATTCCGCCATCGGAGGTCTTAATGCATTGATCTTTACGTAAAATCTTTGAACCATTGTTCTTTGTTATCTTTCTTCTCAAGTTATACAACAAAACAAATCCAAATAGAGAAGCAACAAATCCACCCAAAATATACTGATCAATCATCACCATTTATTAGATTGATCAAGAATTGTTTGTGATGATGATCGGAACTCAAAAATTTGAACAGATTAAATTTTCTCTCTATATGTATGCTACTATGCTTGCTTTATGCGTATTCACAAGATATTTGTGGGATAGTTGGCGCGTTTTATAGGCAAAAGATTACTGAGCACCTTCCTCTATTTCATTGGAGGTCACCTAACTTATAGGTCTGTTTATGTGGGTCATTCAAATTAAAATTATTCCATTCTGACCACTGGAATTATACTTTTATTTCAATTTGACCATTCTGTGTATAATTGCAATCAAAACTAGTAGCCTCTCCCATCTTGGTCGATGTAATATGTGATCGTGTTTGTTTTACATTACATCAATAGTTTGTGTGAACAAAGAAAACACGAACTGAATTAATGTTATCAGTGGACCACCAAATTGAACAAAAAAATCGTTTTTCCTCAATTAACCAATATCAAAGAGAAGCTAATCTCCCACTTGGTGTAGATTAAAATTAAATTTTGATAAACTTGTGATTGAAAAGTTGTGAATCACATAAAATGTGTTGTTAAAATTAATTATTGATATTGACTAGAAATTAAAAACATATTTTAAAATATATCAAACATGGACTTAATATTGGATTTTAATTTCAAAAAATACTATTTGTGTACCGGGGCTGGCACTTTGATATATAGGTCCCCTTGCAAGAGGGGGGCCCATGACCAATAAAAAAAATCGCAAGCCCCCCTCGTTACACCCGGTGTACACTTAACAAAGCCTTTCAAAAAATCCAATGAATATACGGCCTCCATATTAGATACGTGGCTAAAACTTAGCGATGCGACGAGTAATTAATTTTCAAATTGTGAAAGCTGGAAAGTCCATTTTCTATTGACTAAGAGTTCAGGGTTTCTCTATGTGTCGATCGAACACCTCGATGTACAGCCCCTCTTACAATTGGGGGTTCATGATTTTTTTATTGGGCGTGTGGCCTCCTATTGTGATGGACTGTACACTAAGGTGTCAATCCTGATGTACAAATAGCAAAACTTAAGAATTAATGCTATCGGTATTAGTAATGCATCAATATCAATCTGTTTTCTTCCATTTATTCTAAGGTAAGAATTCAACAATCATTTAATCAAAATCAAGGAACTATTCATAATGTTAAAGATCAGTTTAGATGTCAGCACATCACAAATTATTGTATTTAATTGAACTTATAATTTAACGATACAAGCGTTGTTGCCTAAATTGATATTAAATATCAATGATACTGAATGTTATTACCCGTCTAATATGCTAAATTTTCTTAATTTTTTGTCAATCATAATACACTCACGTTCTCCTTTACATTAACTTTTATACTTTTACATATGGCAAGATCTACACTTTTGATTTTGTACACATTCACACATCACTGCACAAATTTCTTCCACGTGGGGAAATGTCATGTATATTGTCATACATATAGCTTAATTGAATTTTTATTAATTGTTACGCTTTATATTGGCTAATGATTACGGTGGATAATGGTGTCGGGTTCGTGGCAATAATACATCCTTATTCATAATTATAATTGGGCAAATTATTTTCAAACCATATTTTTATTATAAATACATTCCAATTTTTTTAAGGTCTATAATATTTATTCATTATTATATTTATGTTCTTAAATTTTTTTCTTTTCGTTTTTATTTTTAATTTTTAATTAATCAATTAACAAATAATATCCTTAAAGATAATTTTCGTTCAAAATTTATGTCACGCGTGCTTTAAAACAATAGATAAATATTTAGTCCTAATTTTGTATTTATTAATTTTCTTCTTATTCAAAAATACAATAAGCAAATAAATCTTTTTACTCTGTCTCCATGAAATTTATGGACAAAAATATAATCAAAGGCAAGATGTACTAATTAATAAAATGTTGAATATAAGAATGTGATAAAAAAAA